TTCCCTCCCCCATCCCATCAGGGTAGGGGGAGTGAGCGAGCAGCTCCGTGGTGCTGAGTTGCTGGCTGGGGCTAAACCATGACAGGCTTTTACAAAGCTACTCTTGAAACGAGCTTCAACGGGGCACTCTGCTGTGGTGTCTCTGCAAAAGCAGGAGCTGGATCCAGTTTATACTTCAGCGGTAAGAGACCTCAAATTCTGACTCCTCACTTCCTGCATATCAAGCTCTGTGTGTTTTGACTTGGTCACCTTCATCAGTGTCAAAAAGGGATTTGCCATCCCTGTCTCTTCATGATTTGAGCACAGCATCATGTTCTGCTGAATGCTACCCCTCCAGAGCTTCTCACTGGGAACAGTGGGGAAATGATGAGGTGGGGAGGGAAGGAAACAACAATCGGTCACACACACACTCTCCATCAAGATACATCACTTAGAGGGATGCAACCTGGGCAGGGTTTAGGGAGGACAGAGCCCCTGCAACCACATGCTAATAGGACACAAAAAAGAGGACTGTGACTACCATATCATCCTCATCTCCCACAGCTTGCTTTTAAAACAGGAGATAGAACTTTCAAGATGTGACAATTCAATCTATTTCTTCCATTTTAATCTGCAGGAGGAGCATGAATTTAGTTTACAAGTTTTGGCATGAATCCAACCCCACCAAGAGTATGGTTCATCCTACCCCACATGTTCAACTTGTATTGTGAAAGCATAAATGAAGCCAACTTCCCTCTAGTCATTTTTGCCAGTTAGTGTTTCAGAAAGCTGAAACTTTAACGCATTTTGGCACACTTTCCCAGAAAGTTTTTGATGACTTCACTTCCTATGGCTTTAGTCTTACCTAAACCTGCATTTGGTTTTGGTTTTTTCAAGACTAAATATTTAAAGAATCATAGGCCAATGATCTCCTGTTTAAACACTTCCAAATCTTCTCAAATGCAATTTAAAGTTTACCCTGAGGAAGGGAAAGCTTTGACTAGTCACTTCCCCAGCTGGCTGAATTTGCTATGGAGGAAAACTGTCAGTGGAGAAATGTTTGTTTATTAAAGACAAAGACAGACCCTCAAGCTGTAATTATTAAAAAGGAAAGTAAAATGGGTTTTGAAACACTTTCTAAACCTTTTCGGAGCAAGGCTGCTTTCTCCACCCTTGGTAAGGTTGCAAGCCAAACACTATCTTTTAGTGGTTTCGAGAGCTCTAAGCCTGCAGTTCATAGGGATGCTGGGTGCAGAAATCTCCCTCCCACCCCTAAAGGGCATCAACAGAGCTTAGCAGTTTCTTTATGTAGGCTTAGCCTATTGAATTAAGCAAGATGGGGAGATGCAAAGTTTAAGGTTTTACTGGATTTCTTGACCCAGCTTTTCTTCCCAAAGGATCAAAGCGAGGTCCCCTCTCCCCTGCCCTCAGAGAGCGCTTCCCTTCACCCAAAAAGGCATGTTCACCTTCCCATGCACATGGTAATCAGCAGTTTGGGGAGCCAACAACACTACTGGTAAAGCCAGGGTTGGGTTAGGAACAATAGGGAAGATTTGGTTTTAAGTAGAGATCCTTTGGCCCTCTACACTGTAGAGGACAAGGCCAAGGGCTCCCGGTAGAAGCTCTCAGTGGTAAGACTCCAGCTTTAATGCCACACTCCATCTGAACTGCAGTATAAGCAGCGATTCGCCTATTCAACCTTCACTGTAGCATGGCTACAGACTGCATGCATCAGCGCACAATGACCCCCTGCAACCGAAACACAACCGGACTGGGTTGACGAGCTGTCTGCTTCAGAACAGCGAGCCCTTGCCCAGGCATATGGCAGGGCAGATGGGCTCAGAAGAACATGCTGAGTTTGGACCTCCTGGCCTGGGACCCAGTCCCACAACTGGGGCCCAATGCTTGCTGAGCCCCAGGGCACCTCCACAGACCAAGTACAAGCAGGCCTCAGTTTCAGGAGCCGTGTATCCACACCCTGACTCAAGAGCCATAAACATTGATGGTTTGGGGGCAGGGAGGAAGACAGCTCTGCACCCACTTCAGCACAGGGTCAGCTAAGGACCTAAGTGTGACGCTGCACAGAAGCACAGTTCCTTTGTCTAGTCCTCCACCATCAAGCCTGAAGTATCAGTAAAGAGATTAGCCCAGCCTTAACACAAGAAAATAAAATTACCTATCAGGGTCCCCCCAGCATATTTCAGAAAACCTCTCAGGACACATACCTGTGCTGGGGAAGCACAAGTGGACATTCACTATGCTGCAAAAGCTGTGCCCACAAAGACATATAGAGGGGCAAGGGAAGGTCCTCAAAAGCTTTCCGTATCACATGCTGATGTCCTCACTGACCAGCCTTGCTTAAAGAGGCCATCTGACTTTAGCCTAGATGACCAACCAGAGCTGAACACACCCCTAAACTTGGCTGAGGGTTGTGCTGTGTGGATCATAGCAAGGTTCAGAGCAGCATGGGTAAGATTGCTGGGTCATTTCTTCAGCAACCTCCCCAACAAGCTGCATGTCTGTGATTAATGCTATCACACAGCCTACAGGGTTTGGAGGCTTATTAATACAAGTTTTCATCACAATCCACTCACCAATACATACATTCTGAAGTTATAAATCTAATGGTAGAACAAGTGAAGTGTGAAAGTTTGTCAGCTGTCTCATGAAATTAAGTTAGGAAAGACTCAGCCATCATTAAGAACGGTTACTATGAAAAATTGGCTGGAAGCCACCGTGGAAACTAGGAATGCAAAGGAATCAAGAAGAAGGGATGACAAAAAGTCTGTTTTCTGGGGTTTCCTAAATTTGGAAGCCTGAAAGTAGGCATCACCATCAATGGATAAAAATTGTAGCCCTGAGCTACTTAACTGGATATGCCAGAGATGAGAATGAGTAGAAACACGAGGTGCTCAGCATTTCTGACAACCTAAACAAAAGTAAATATGGCCTTATGCAGCCTTCAGGGTAGTTAGCGAAGCATAAAATGCGCTCTAGATTCTTACAACAGGTAAAAAACCCAGGAGTATTTCCAGCCAAGGGTAATTACCAATGAACTCAAAAGCTTCTTCAAAATACTGCCTGAGATTCTGCTTGTTGCTGTCAGTGGCTGGGAGCCGCTTGTAGTTGAACATGCCTTTCTCATAATGGTACAGGGGCAGGTGGGTGGTCACATTGATTACATAGCCTATGTTCATCCTCTGCATTTTCTCCAAGTCCTGAGCATCGTGCTCGTTTCCGAGAAAGAGGAAGGGCAGGATGGGGGTTAGCTCAGCATTCTCGATGTCCGGCGTGGTGGGGATGGACTGAGGTAGCGTGGGGGGCACGGCAGACGCACCACCCCCTCCTCCCCCCTCCGGGCACTCTTGCAGCTGGAGGGAGTTATCGCAGAGGTTTTCATGATTCTGCTTGAAACCGCTGAGTCCTCCTGGGAAGAGAGACCAAGCAGATACTTTGGTTAGACACCCCAAGATTGGCAATGCTTTGGACCCACCTTTCTTCAGAACACATGCTGGGGCCACCGGGACTGGAGCTGGCTCTGTTGTCCCCACCACCACTGTCACGGTGACTGATGCTGGGCATGGCCGCCAGCGGCAAGGGTGGCATGAATCAGTGGCACATGTTGTCCTCCCCTCCACGAGGCTGACTGTGCCAAGGAACAAGGTCACAGACAAACACACCTGTGTGCAACATCAGTGCTCTGGGGCTGCCTCACCTATGAGCCCATGGGAGGAGGCAAAAGGGGGTGGGGGAAGAGACAAGAGGTATTTTTCCAAGAAGGAAAACATCACCAAAATGACAAGCAAATGGGCTAGCAGCATGTCAAAGCAGAGCAGCAAGCCAGCTGGGACAGTCTTTTAGCTTTACCTGTCCACAACAGATTTACCTGCCAGGAGCAGCCCTACAGGGCATCCCCCCATCCAATGCCCCTGAGGAGGGGCGGGTGCAGCTCATGTATGCATTTGTGCAGCAGAACAAAAGAAAACTGCTCCTCATAACCTAACAGCAACTGAGGTGCTCACTTAACATGTGGCAAACAGTTCTCCTTTTTCTGCCCTGGTTGCCTGAAAATATCTAGCAAGAGTTATTTTTAGGACATTAATATGGATTGGGAAATGGATCCGAGGGGGGAGGGAGAAATAATTTTTTTTTTTTTTTGGCTTGCGCCTCCCCTGGCTCTACTGCACATTTTGCTGGCTTTTTCAAGCAGCTTCCCCCCCCCCCCACACCCGCTCCCCCCCCCCCCCTTTTTTTTTTCCTCAGGAAGGCAGCTCCGCAAAACTGGAGCAAGAAAAGCAGACCTTCTTTCTACACCTCATTCGGCAATTACATCAGCCCCAGGCTCCCCACCTGCCTGGTTTCCATAGTGATTACACAAAGCACACAATGACATCAGCTGGCATGACATCAGCTCTTTGAGCGCAAACAATACAAGAAGAACTACTTTGTGTAAGGCCTTTGGTAGGAGGCGCGTTCCTGGGAGCCACTGATGTAATGCTAACAGGTGGCTCCTCCAAAAGAAAAAGGCAGAAATAGGAGAAATGCAATGATATATCCCCCCCGCCTCGCCCACAAAAGCACACGTTTATGTTGTACCAGGATACTTGGAGTCATGCACCACATTGAGACAGGCCAAGTGTTCAGACTCAATTGCACTTTGTTAAATACAAGCCAAAAAAAAAAAAACCCAGGAGGGGGGAGAGCTACGCTGAAGTTACTAGAAAGAGCTACACTAGCCAAAATAAATGCTGAATGTCACCATGCTGCTAATGTTTTTTTGTTTTTTTAAAAAGAGGTTCTTTGTCTTTTCCATGCCCTTTGACAGTGATCTGGCAAAGGAAAATTTTAAAACAGAGCAAAACACAGTCACACCGCCTCTGGATGAGATACAGCAAAGGGCTTCCATCCTGTATCTCACATGGTGCAACTCCAAATGTCCATGTGCCTGCCCATAGGGTGGGACCCACCCAGGGCCCATCTTGGTGCCCTACACAATGTGTGATGGGCATGAGGTACCCAGACCAGGTCACAACAATTTGAGCCCCTCTAATAGAAGTGCCCTTTTTAACATCTGGACTTCTGTTCTTCACATGCTGCTAGTAACTCACTTTCCCAGAAATCCTTGAATTGCCCACGAAACACAGAGCATTTCCCCTGCCTCAAAAGCATGCTTGTCTTCAGTTCCTTCTGCTGTTTACAGCAGGCTGAGCAAATAGATCTGCCTTAAAGATCTCTACTCACAAAGTTGTGATAACAGGGGAACAGGACAGAAGGAAGAGCAAGGACAAAAATCTGAGCTTGACTGCCAATTGTACCACCTGGCCTTGACAGGGTCTGAAAAGTCTTCTCAGTCTGCTCAAGAAAACAAACAAGACTATGGTCCACAAGCTGAAGGTGTCTGAAGTCTCATCGAAACAGACATCCTCAGCCTAGAGTCTGGGCCAAAGGCTAAGCCCTCACCCACATTCCCATCCCTTCTGCATAGGCAAGCAATTCATTCAGCTTAAATACTGCTGTTTAAACAACAACCAGAGCATGCTGGGATTCCCAAGAAAACTCCTGAAGAACAAGCTGCTTTAGTGACTCAAGAGTCAATGCTCATTTTCTACCTCTCCTACAGGCTTCTGGGAGTAAGCAGCCATAGGCAGAGGTAGGATCCCATTGTTTCATCACTCGGATACACTGATGGTGTGGCAGACACCATCCTGCTTCACCAGTCACCTTGTGAAACACAGGAGAGCTGAAGAGTCTAGAGCAAGCTCTTTCCTCATCACCTACATCCTCCTTTTGGGGCCTCTGCCTGCCCTGTTGGCCAGAAGACACTACTACTGCTGTTACCAACTCTTCCTCAGTGTGAGGTTTGGTCCAGCAGATGAAAACAGGGAGGAGAGGACAAGGGACCATTACATTGTGCAGAGCTCCTCTATTATCACTGGATCCAGAAGAGATCAAGAGGTGCATGGCAATCCCCACCACTCTAGCAGGAGCGTCAGGCCTAAGGATGGTAAGGCAATCCCAAATACACCATGTAGAAGATGCCCAAACAAGTGGAGTAGCCAAACATACGATAGCAGCTTCACCCACAATTTCCTTCCTGACATCCAGCAGTGAAGAGGTCACCTTTCCTAATGTCAGTCCATGTCCCCCCTCTCCTTGTTCTCCTCCCTCATGTGGGTAGGGAGTTAAAAAGTCAGTTCAAGCAATATTTAAAGTACCATACCTAAGCAACTCTCAGAGCAAATGTCCCTGAAACATGCTACTGGGGAGAAGATTACTAACCTGAACTGGCTCAGACACATGGGCAAGGGAGGATTGGACAAGAACACTGGTACCCAGAAAGGATGCAGCAAGATGCAGTCATGGAGGGAAGCTGAACTCTAAAGCCAACAGTAGGAGTTTAGCTTGGATCTGCACTGCCATATGAGTCATGCAGGTCTCAAAACAGGATCCAGACACCTCGTAAGTGCTGTTCCCTTAATCCACTCCCTGCACGCTCACCGCACATGATCCTTGCTCCTAGCTAATTTATGAAGCACTAGTGTAATTTAAGTGGGGCTCATGCATGCATAATGCTTAGGTTTTTCTGAAGTTTGAGACCACTTCCCAAAAAAGGTCCAAGCAAAGTTCATTATGACCAGTCAGAAAGAGTCAGAGATGGGCTCTCCACATGAAGGTAAATACAACGTTCAGGGTATTCAGGTACATCTGTATTCCTTTGTCAAACAGCTGCTATTTTTGCAATTAAACAGTGGGGAGAGGAGCTGAGAGAGAAGAGGCTGTACCCAGAGAGGAGGCCAACACATAGCTACTGCGAGCCTGGTCTAAGAGTTGACTTATTAAACTCAGCAAGGACCAAACATATCACTACTACTGACAGCAACTCCAGATCTCACGCAAGCTCAAGGCATGGATGCAGACACTCCATCTGTCGTTGTAATAGAAGCTGTTTTGTGGTTGAAGCTGCTCAAACCTTCCCAAACCTGGGGCATGAAGGAAGTGTTAGTGAGGGCAGTAACAGGGAGCGTGGAGGAGAAGCACAACCTGAGAGAAGCCTCTCACTAACACAAAAGTAAGCTGCATTTTAAAAGCAGCTTTTCAGCTGCTATTTGCAATATACAAAAAGCCTTCATCGTATACAGGCAGCCTAAGCAGAGAGGCAATATCCACCAGGAAAGACCATTAGCATGCAGAGCAGTGCAGTCTGAGTAGCCATGAAGCCTAGACTCAGCTGTGTAGCCACCCTCAGTGACAAACCAAAATGCCAGCAGCTAGATAAGCCACCAATGTTCACTCCTACAGAATGTTATGCATGTAACCTGTTTCTTCTAGCTTTAAACATACCACATAGCTTTAATAACCAAAGTATGGCAAAAAGCCTGAGCCACCCAGCCAGTTTGATGCAGCCCATGCATGGATGTGGAGAACATACCAAGTGCTTTTTGTGCACACTCTGCTCCAAAACAGCTGCCAGGCAGCCTTTCAGTGGGGACAGAACCTACCCAAACCTAAATGAAGATGGACATGCAAGGATGCCCAGCACACTGGGGAACCCAAGCTATTTCTTCCATAAGGAAATGAATCAATGAAGCAGGACCCTTCACAGCAGATGGCCTTGCCTGCTATCCAGTGGAACACAACAGAAGACAGAGCGCTCTTGCTTGCCACTGATGCAAGAGCCAGATATTTTTGCAGTTATCACTGTACGACATCTTCCAGCACCCTGCCCTGCCAGAACAGTTAGTGAGCAACAGACTTTGGATTGTCCATGGACTCAAAACTTTTAGTTTGAACTCAACTCAACTCCGCACTGTACATGCTCCAGCTATTCATACTTGTTTGTTCTTTGCAGCCATCTGCCCATAAACATCTCGCTTAATGCTCCTCAAAATCCCCTGCCGAGCAATGCCTGGGCAGCAGCTGCACACAGATTTCCCAGCTCCAAAGCCACCCAGAAGCCCAGGGCTTGCACCAGTGCTACGAGGCCAGGTGAGCAGCTGGACAGGAGCCAGAGCAGCTCTGAACAAATAAAAAAAAAAAAGACAAGCAGCATGGTGCTTGCATAAAAATCATGCCAAACGTGGTGTATGTCATTTGCTGTCAGAAGAGGGCAAATACGATGCAAAACAGGCACAAAAAGGTATGGCAGGAACTAGGCAACCAGCTTTTACAAGGGACCATGACCTTGCAATAAAAACAGTCATCTTCAAAGAAAGCAAGAAAAACAAACCTTATCTGCACACATTTTATACAAGTGATTTTTTTCTTTTAAAAGAGAAGGTTGAGAATTACAGTACAAACAGTACAGTAACACCTGCCCTCCTTTCCTGTGTCGTCTTTCACACCTCTTTCAACCATCGCTGCTGTTCTATGGCTGTGTGACTACATACAAACTAGGATGTGGGTTTATAATATGTTTTGTTAGATTTG